AAAAGGCATCAATGCAAGAACCAAATACAATTTTTAAAACGTGAGAGAGCAAAAGGGAAACATAGCCTCTAAGGATGAACCACCCGACCATCAATTCATACAACTCATAAGCTCCACTGCCGGCTGACCCCCACGTTTCTGTCCTGCCTGGCTTAGGGTCCAGTCACGTGCCCTGGCTTTGGGTAGAAGCCACGGATTTTGTATCATTGGCCTGATGGTGACTTGACCCTTGTAATGCCACGTGCTCCCCTGCCCAGACGTCTGCAGGCAGCAACGGTCAGGGTCTTCAAAATGGCTGCCACAACCAGATGAGTGAAATCTGCCCTTTGCCACGCGCACGCAGTGCGCTTGATGCCCATAAAAGGGTTTGGGGCTTCGATTCCTATTTCGAAGCCTGGGATCTTTGCTGTGGGGCCTCCCCCTGCCTGCCCCTGATTCATTTAGTGTTTCGAACAAGCACAGCCATTATGGTTTATAAACTATGATTTATGGCATGGCCGGTGACGTGATGCCAACAAACTCTGTGTTGTCCAGCTCAACCATGGTTGAGCACACTGCATGATCCCATCTTATCCCTCATCCAGCTTCTGTCGCACAGCACGAGCCTTCCCCAGCCTGGTGCCCTTCAGATGTGCCATAGGGGCAAGCCAGATAAGGACAATGGGCTTTGTAGTCCAACACCAAGGGCACTGGGCCAAGAAAGGCTCCACTGCATCTTGTCTTGTGCTCTTAGGCCTGGTACCCATGCTACATTAAACCATGGTTTGCTTAACCATGATTTGCCCAAACTGGCTAAGTTCAGCCCACCCACCAAGCCGTAAGCCCTGATTTACTAACTACAGAGTTAGGGCTGGTCCACCATGCCAGAACCAAAGCAAATGCCCTGTGGTGTAGTTGCCACGTGAACTAAGTTTCTCTTTCAGGGGGCCTCTATTGACCTAGATTTACAAGATGTTGTAAAGATTGTAAGATGATAACTGTTCGTCACTTGATTAAGTGTCCACAGGGAGGGGGTCAAAAAAGTTGATGCATATAAAAAAAGGGGTAAGGCTTCAAGTGCATGGTTCTGGCCACCATCGTGACTTTTCTGACCTCCCCTGGGCACCCAGGTACATTTCTAAGTTTCCTTGTATCTTCCAACCATTGACATGCAGTTAACCTTCAAATGACTGAAACCGGGCTGACCTCCAGACCTGGCCTTTCAAGAGAGAAATGAGAGGCACCAGAAACGTCCTTCTGCTCCCCTTTATCTGCTGAACCTGCTCATCCCAGTGAGGGCAGCCAGAGTCCCCTCCAATGTCTGAACCTGACACGGCTGGAAGGTTCTCTTGGCAGAGAATAAAGGCGGGTTTGAGGACACACAGCCCACTCAAAAAAAAAAAAAAGTTTTACAGACCTCCAAACTTCAAAGAAAATTATTTGTAATGGACAAAGCTACAGCTAAAATTCTTGACATATGGGCACTCAGCCCTGGTTTTCCCTGGTAAATTTCTCTTAATTCCCTGTGATTTAGGCTGAGTTTCCACCACCATAGTTGGCTTAAACATGGTCTACTGCAGTGTTTCTCAACCTTGGCAACTTTACAATGGGTGGACTTCAACTCCCAGAATTCCCCAGCCTAGGAAGCTACAAGCATTCAAAAGCTCAGCTCGTCATGCGCTTCTGCTACAGGAGCAAAATCCTGGTGGGGTTTGTAAGAATGTCCACATCAACGGGTCTCCTTCTTGTGGCTGTAGGAAGAAGAGGCTGTTAGCTCTGAAGAGCCGGCAGGTGAGCTGTGAGGAACAGCAGCCTTTGCCTGGATCAGTCAGGCCCAGCTCCAAGATACAGATCATCCCTGCCTCGCCCTCTCCTTCGCTCAAGCATGGTGAGATCTTGATCGAATGGAAAGATGGGACCATCACCTCACTCTTTGACAGCTCACACTAGCAGACCGACTCCATCTCCTCCTTGCTGAACCTCTCACAGTCCAGTTCTTCCCAGCAGAGCCCTTTCACTTGCACTTGAAGCTTTGATAGCATTTCTCCTGGGGCTTATTAAGTAGACCAACGTTCTCACTAGGAAAGCAAGGAAGCTGAGGTGACCTTCACACTTGCATTGCAGTTATGTTGGTGACTAAACAAGGGCAGACTTAGTTAAGTCTTGGATGAGAGACCACTAGGACTTCCCAGAACTAGATTAGGATGTTGGAAAAGCATCTCAAAAGAGAAGGTAGGCCAGCCCCTTCTATACTCTTGCTAAGGAAACTCCTTGGACATGTCCATGAATCCCCAGGCTTAACTCAAAGGAGGTGTTAACTTTTATTAGCAAAGAGACATTTAACTTGCTCCACTGTTGGAGTGGAGGTCCAGATCTTGTTAACATATTGGCAGCCACCTTCATTAAGAAGAAGTAAGGTCATGCTAGCCATTGTCCTCATCGTGTGATTGTACAAACTCAGAGAAAAGTTAGACACTTACCTATGTGGTCTGTAGTCGGGAGACCTGTACCCATGTTACTTGTTGGTAGATGTAAAATAATCAAAGACCAACCAAGAGGAACCATGTTTTTTTCTGCATAGTCACCTGAAAGCAATTTCTACTCACCCTAGGCGAGCGGCTTATAACAGGTTGAAAAGCAACCAGGCCATGGATTACAACTACCCATCTAGCTTTAATAATAATAACAATAACAACAATAACAATAATAATAATAATAATAATTATT